AACAACTACATTATCCTAAATGTCAATCAACATCCACATTAACTAAACTCTACATTAACATCACAAGTCTCAATGCTTCTTAGACTTTCTACCCTTTTTCTCCCCATGCGCATGCAACGGCTTTCTTCCTCGATTGAGTAAGTTTGTCTTGAAATTCACCTTCTCGGTCTCAATTTGGGCAGGTCTTGCATGTCTCTCAAAATATTCATCGGATTGTGTCTTGACTGTAGCTTTCACCTCATTCAGATCCGTAGTGAGCAAGTACATTGTAAATTGTGCCCGCTCATACTCACTATGGAACTGGTCAAGCTTCTTGGAATATCGATCTGGATCCAGCAAGTAATTGCTGACAAATAGTCCACAATCAAATCTGTAATATAACAAATAATTATCATGGTCATGATGCGAACAAATAATTATCGAACTTAATTAGAACAGTGCACGATTGAACAACAACAAAGGGTACCCATTTGGTTGGCAAGCAACATCCTGGCGATATCTAACCACGAAGTCCACAAATGAAAACGCCCCACAGATATCATCCTTAAGCAACCAATCTAGACCCAATTTCTGCAAATGAAAACATCCACCTCATCGATATATAACGACAAAGTCGGCAAATGAAATACAACTAACAACTAAGCAATAAGTAAAGCTTGAAAAGTTGAAGAACAAGAAGCAAACCAGTTTCTGCATCTTTGCATCATATTCTTCATTATGAGTTCCTCGTAATGAGTCCCAGATTTCGATTTCTTTGGCTTCCATGTTAAAGACCGCCAGATAGAAGTGCTTCAACGTGAGGTTGAAAATTGGGACATGAATCTGAAATAATGGACAAACAAACAATAATTATCAATTTAACATAGGAGGGTGAAGCCATTTCCTTTTAGAAAACAACATTACAACATACCTTACTGCAGTAAAGTAGCTCACCAATACAGTATCGCTCATGTATCTTATATGAACGCATCTTAGCCATAAATTGCTCCTCGTTGCAATGACTCGCACGCTCCTAGAAAAATAAAACACAGTCACCCACACAAGCTACATGCAACAAAAAATAGATTAATTTCATGACAAGAATAGACAAAGCAGACAACTGTACCGAAACTTGAGGTGGAAAGAACCAAGACAAGCCACCAGTGCGACCACAACTCCGTTCTTCTAGTGTCTTGCACAGACACGCCATTTCTATAATCTAATGCATCATCATCACATATACCAAAGTCAGCAATACACGTTCAATCTACTAAATTACACACATAAATGAACTTACCCTTGTTGAAATTTTGGTCCTTGGCAAAAGCTCGACAAAATCTTCACGTGACAAGGAAAGAACCCCGCCACCAACACTAACCAATGTGTCACTGTTATACAATACCAAGTTCAAACAACACAACATTAGAATAAGCAAATACCAAAAACATCCTACAAATATGATCCAATTTTACTTGTAATGATTTCGGGAGGTACCTTTCGGGAAGCTCACTACTAAAAGCAAATTGAAGCATCTTTACTGCCTCCAGAGACAATGGTGTCTCAACAACAAAGGGAGGAGCACGGTACAAAGGTTGTGCTTTCTTAGCTCTGGGATTTGCCCGTTCGAATGGAGAGAGCACATACAAACTAGGCTTCAATTTAGACACACTACGTAGTGCACCTCCCTTTCGCCCCTTTCTTGTTCAAAAACATAAAAAAACAAAACCAGTTCATTAGTAACCACACCATAAGAACCAATAATTAGAAAAATTAATCAAGTGAAATACCTTCACAGCCTTGGAACAACCATCATTAGCAGCAACACTTTCATCACTCAACAATATGAATTTCTCAACTTGCGACGCTTTAGGCTGCTTGCAAGGAGACTTTTTCACAACTTTCACAGAAGGAGATTCAGAACATCTCTCATCTCCAATTTCCCCCTCAGCTTCTCCCGAATTCTCAACTTTGGCAGTCTTGACAAATTCCAAGGTAGGAGAAATGGGTTCCCTAGGTTTTTCAACCTCACCCTTCTGATCGTTCTTTTTCAACTCAGCTGTAGGAGAAATGGGTTCCCTAGGCTGCTCCCTTGACAACGGATCACCTACAGTTGCTTTCACTGCCTCTATAAGGGACTTCACTGCAGTACCGATTTCGTCTCTAAAAGCCCGAAATTCGTTCTCCATTTTCACAACCCGGCTCATTAGCTCATTATCTCTAGAAGCAGCATCACCCATTGCCACTCTAAATTCTTGACCAAAGTTGTCAATTCTACCCTCCATGGTACTAAACCGAGCATCAATACGCTCATAGAGAAGTAGCTCATCCCCGTCGGGTTTGTGCCGTTTCCCATCTACTTCTCCCCGTTTCCTTGGAGGTGATTTCAAACCGGCATCCTCAGCTGATCTTTTCCCCGAACTGCTGGAAACCTATAAATTAATTAAAAAGGGAACCAAATGTACCATTAGCATGCTCCAACTTGTCAAAAGAATCAAATATACTATCAATCTTACCACTTTTGTTAACAATAACTCCACGTCTCCGCTCCCCCAACTCATCAAATCCAAACTCCCATCAACGGTTTGGAAAATACCATTTGCATGCTCCAAGAATATTAACTACAAAAAAAAATACTATAATCAACATGATGATTAATCATTACAAATATGTAGAAAGTCGGGATTAACAATTATTTACCTCCAAAAAGCAAGCAACCCGGTATATACTCTCTTTTAGAAGCATTATGGTCGCAGATGCATTTGACCAATTCATTGAAGCAAAAGGATGCCCAATTCTTCTTCGGAATGTCTGCAACATCGGTGACAGCGTATACCGAAGACAAGGAAATGTCCTCTCTTCTAGTTGGTACTAATAGCACCCCCATTACGTACAAAATAAACATTTGAAGAAATAGATCGTCGCTATCTTTCATCTTCGACAACTCCTTCTTCATTAAGCTTGTGGAAATCGCCTGTCGGCCACATTCACGTGTCGAAAACACTCTAAATGGTTCCAGTTCCTCTGATCTTCCCTCCACTTCTTCACCATTCAAGATGATATCAGTACCTCCCTCAGGCACACCCATAATTCGCTCGAAATCTTTGGCCGAAATATGCACTTCCAACCCATACGCCTTAATTGTGCTTTCTTCCAGATTAAAGCTCTTCACAAGTTTCTCCAACAACTCACGTTGTAGCTTTCTTGCTTTGACATCAAGAATACGACCAAAGCCACATCTCCTAATGGCCTCTGATTGACAAGCCTCTAAATTTGAGACTACTGAGAATACTTTCCTAGGAGAACATCGCGTGCTGAAAATTTGATGCCTCTTCGTCTTCATTATAGAACAATTTTAGCAAACTGCAAAATTAAAACAACAGAAAAATTATAAGCATGCCTTGAAACACGAATTATAAGCATGCCGAAGAGTACAAACAAAATACAAGTTCTAACTACCAGAAGAACTGAAAACCCCTACATCAACACCTGAGTACACTAATTAACCATGAAAACACCCAGCTTTCATTAATTTTCACCCAAAATGCAAAATCTCACGGCCGTGACATGACCCGTGAGAAGCAAAGAGAAGTTTGCATATCTCCAGACAATCTCCAGACAATCACACGGCTTATTCTCACGGCCGTGAGAATTTACAAAGGGGCCGTGAGAATTTACAAAGGGGCCCGTGATAATTTACTAAGGGGCCGTGAGAATTTACTAAGGGGCCGTGAGAATTTACAAAGGGGCCCGTGAGAATTTACAAAGGGGCCGTGAGAATTTACAAAGGGGCCCGTGATAATTTACAAAGGGGACCGTGATAATTTACAAAGGGGCCCGTGAGAATTTACAAAGGGGCCCGTGAGAATTAACAATGGGGCCGTGAGATGCCCATCATCCATATCCAAAAACACGGCTCATCTCACGGCCGTGACACTGTCGAAGGCAACCCGTGAAAACCTCTGGGAAACTGAGAAGTGTGTTTTTACATACACGGTCTCTCTCACGGCCTATCTCATAGCCGTGATATTTCCAGAATTACATCCACGGTCTCTCTCACAGCCGTGATATTTCCAGAAACCACACACAACTTACAACTTTTGAGAGCTAAATAACATGACCACGAGCATAGCCACTAAGCTTTCCATAACCCATGACACCACCATAAACACTCGCTCTATTTCCATCCAAACTGGCTAAAACTGAAGTCACCCTGATTTCATGAAATAGTTCTTGACTAACACACTCAATTGCACCTTTCATGCAGCCAAGCAAGACCCTTCAATTAACAGTCCAAAATGTAATCAACAAGCAACGGTAACGACACTACAAACCCTGAAAATAACTCGAACTCTAGTGGGATGTGGGAGATAAAAATTGACTATTAAGTAAACTCTACAAACCCATTCCTTACATCCCTAAAACCCAATCAAGACCAAAGAACTAAAGAAGCAAGCAGAACAACCCCAGCACAGTTATTCTCTTCAGTTTGAAAGCAAAGGCAACAACGAAATGAACAATACAAAATGAGATCGAGGCACGGAATGTACAATAAAGAATAAAACTGGGAGTAACTCCCAAGCTGCCGTATATTCTAAGGCCAACAGACCTCCTGTATTTGCATATCGATCAGCCACAACCATGCTCTAAATATCCTAACTAAGTTTGACCTTAATGTCTCATCATTCATGGAAGCTCTTTTACCCACTGCACTAAACTTCTTTTCTACATTATATACACAATTCTAACTCCACATACAGTCCCTTCGGATACATCCGATAACTCCACAAACAGAAAACTCATACTATGAAGTGAACAGTTAAGATAAGCACCCATTTCTGTTGGTTAATCGCATGCTTGGAGCCACTAACCATAGCAAAGAGACTTAAATCAATCAAACAAATCATGGTTTTCAAACTTAACTACATTCATCAATTGGCTAAACAGAGAAAAATTCCCAACTTTCTCAGTGAACACGGCCTTTCTATCTACCATATCATATCATATCAATCCTCCCACGAAGAATGGAAGAACTACAACAACAACATCCATCCAAAGCTTCCTCACCAAAGGAAGCATCATCAACAACCACAACCGCAACCACAACAACAACAACCACAACTGCTGTGAATTCTTCAGACTCGAATTCTTCTACCCTAACAACAGAAGAACCCAATGCTCCTCCTCAACAGAAGAAGATTGAGGAACAACAACAACAACAACAAGAGCCTGCTAAGGATGTTGCTGAAACGGAGACAAATCAAGCACAACCTCAACAGCAAAAACAAGGTGAAGAGAAGGTAAATGCTGCAAATTCTCCTTCAAAACAAGTGAAGGAACAACAGGAACCGCCATTGCAGCTAATTATCAAGCTAAACACAAAGAAGATAGTACTAACCGAAAAAAGTTGCGGTGGAGGAGGTAGGTCAGCGGTCTTCGTTTGCTATCGATGGGAAGAGGGGTTTTGTGCAGAGTCTTCGTTAGCTATCGATGGGAAGAGGGTCTTCGTTTGCAATCGACGAAGAGATGCTCGCTCTCGTCGTCCCTTGCTCGCCGCCTTCACTGTCGTCGTCGGAATCTGGAATCCGAATCGCCGCCTTCACTGCCGCCTTCTACTCGTCGTCACCCACTGCTCGCCGTCTTCACTCGTCGTCACCCACTGCTCGCCGTCTTCACTCGTCGTCACCCACTGCTCGTCGTCTTCACTGCTCGCTAGCTGCGTGGAGAGGATCGAAGGAAGGAAGAGGATCGAAGGAAGAAGGGTTTCGGCGGTGAGAAGAATGGTTTTCCAAGGAAGATAGTGTTTGTCTCAATTGGTTTCAGACAACCGGTTGTACCGGTTATCACACACAAATAAAATAATAATTTAATAATTTAAATAAAATCTAATGGTTGATATAGTTTGAACATGATCTAATGGCTGTAAATATTTTATAGTACCAATACTATAAAGCACACTAAAATGCCTCACATAGAGTATGTTCTCCTTTTCTCCTATTAGCTAGTCTTAATTTCCTTTTATTACTAACTAGAAATTCATTATAATATTTGCTTATCGGATTGACAGAGAGCATAAGGATGAGATTAAAAGGAAACTTTCAAGCAGAAATCGTAGAAATAATGCTTCTCGTCTAATTGAAATCGAGAAAGTCCACCATTCCACCTTTGTTGATTGGTTCAAAGGACGGTGAGTGCCTTCTTTCGTTTGATTGTGTCCTTATGAACTTAGCTAGATATAGCATTGCCTAAATAAAAAGTTACATAATTTTTATTTTCACTTTTCTTCTATCATGTACGCTGTAATACGATGTCGTCAATTAGGTTTGACATTCCTTTCGATATACCAACATAATTAGTAGCTGTTGATTTCCCTTTTTTTTGCTGTGAGTATATAGGTAGCTAGGCTAGAGGAGATGCATGATCCGCGATTTACTGCTGAACTGAAAGGGCTAGCCCGAGGTCCGAACTATGGGGTTAGACAATTTAAAGGTTACATCACCAAGGGAGTCAGATATCATGCAAACTGTCGTGAAGAGGAAAGAAAAACTCAAAACAGTGGCGTTGTTGTAGCAACAAAGACCTCAAGTTTAGAAGGTGAAATTTTAAATTATGGACGGATAATTGACATGATTGAGTTGAACTACTTCGAAAGGTTCAGAGTAGCTCTATTTAAGTGTGAATGGGTTGACGTGGAACGTGGAAGAGGGTTGAAAAAAGATGCATACGGATATACTATGGTGAATTTTTCAAGATTGATTCACACAGGGTCTAATATACGTGATGAGCCTTTTGTCTTTGCAGATCAAGTTAGGCCTGTATTTACATTAAAGATTCACAGGAACCTGATTGGTATGTGGCACTTCGAACAAAGCCTAGAGACACATATGAATTGGGTGATGAATTAGTTTATCAATCGAAAAATGCAGATCAATCACTCTCGGTGGAAAACGCTGGTCGAGCTAGTGAAGATGAAAATTGGGTTCGCAATGATTTACATCCTGTAGCATTTGAGTATGTAGATCCTGGTGTCGCTGCTACAACGAGTGTCATGTCGGAAGATGAAGCATAGACTTTGGAAGTTCTACTTTTCAATTTGACTTTTCATTTTCCGATGAACATTGGGTTGTACTTAGTTTTCATTTGAAATGACAATGTTGATTCACTCGAATTGTGTGATAAAAATTAGCTGAATGTTTTCTTAATTGTTCCTGTTATCATTGGAGTGCATTGAATAATTGGTGCGGAGCCTGTTGGAAGCAACATATTATCCGGGGAAAGCCTGGTAAGGACACCATTTTCCTTCTATACTTTCCCTATGCGAGGACTCAGCTTCATTCTCTTTCTGCAGTTTCATTAATTTGTTTATGTGAACTCAAATTGAATGTCCTCGTAGGATTCAAGCCATTGGGGGATGAAGAGGTGTACAGCTTTAGGTCTGATCAGAATACGGAAATACATGTGTTATGTCTGCAACATAGCTACTGCCTCTTCTAAAAGCTTCCTCCTTCATTGTCATTTCTAATTGAAGATGTGTTGGTTTAAATGTATGCAGATAATGTGTTGGTCTTGATTTCTAGTCCACCTGGTTATGGAATTGGGCTATTGGACACAAGGAGGTATGGTGAAGTATGCTAAGTGGAGGTGAGGATTCAGAAATGCATACTCCTTGAGCAGAGAATGTTGTAAAAAATTGGTATTTTGGCTTGACTCAATCTTCTAGAATCAACACAATTCGCTAGAAATGTGATTATTCACATGAATTTGCTCATAAAGTGAAATAAGAAAGTGGATATAAAATATGAGCAGTTAGCAGATAGCTCGAATAGAAAGAAGCCCCATTCCATTTTGGTCGGTTTCTTTGTCTAGTCTCATCTCATCACAGACTAGCCGGCGCATGAGAGTTGACTTAGCGGCAGCGGTTTGTTGTCTTTGAGCTGTTCTACTTTTGTTTTCATGCAGATTTATGGAGTTACCACGATTCACATGAATTTTAGATGATGAAATTCAGACAGTCAATCATCGAATTCCACGGGATTGGCACTGGGTGCAATCACAGAGGTAAGTCTAGGATCTGCCTCTCTATTTGGCATTCTTTTACTGTCTTCTATTATACCCTTTATTAATTTTCATAACTGTCAACTGGGATATTTTTAACTTGATCCAACCTAACTTAGGTGTTTCAACTCAAATATATGTATCGACTCTGCAAACTTATTGATCTGAAGAACAAGTTGCTCCTAGAAAATCCCATTAATTGTTTGGCCTGCAAGCCTTTTTAGTTTAGTAGGCCAAAATCATGGTCCAGCCTATTCCAAGAAAAATTCCCAACATGGTTTGAGTGATGTTGCCTTTCAGTTCCGACGATTCAAGGTTTGGAACAGGCTTTAGAATTGAAGTTTTTGCAGCAGTTTCTGCATGTCCCCCCCCCCCCCCCCTATTATATATATCCATTTTGCGTGCGTTGCACTTGAAAGAGTTATATTGTATTTTTCCAACATTTTAATGTCAATGGTATCCGGTCAAATCCCTTTAGTCCACCACAACTTTTAGGCTACGATGTTCAACGTTGTTTTGGGTTTTGTTTGCTATAATTAAACTTGATTGCATAAGAAATATCTTACATCATAACCATTGTTTGTCTTCCTACTCTTAATGCTATAAAAACTAAATATTCTTTTGGTTTTCCCTGCTGTAATGATATCTATCTCAGTCATCTTAGAATGAGGTTTCTTCTATTGTGTCAGGTCCAAAGTGTATGCAATAATTGCCTTACATGTGATGACCGCCCATTGCGAACTTCTGGGATATCGTATGGTGGTCACTAGAGATTCCATTTGGCCGAGTTTACAACTAATGGTGTTTGTGAGCACTGTGTTACTGTTGGTTCCATGTTCGTTAATAGCCCTCTTCAGTTTGAATCCTTGGAAGCAATTTATTTCTCGGAGGCTTGGACGCTATTTCCTGTTTGGTTTTATAAGAGAGATAGACAGGAATCTGCGAAAATGATGTTCAGTGTACCTCTGTATCAAGATTCTTGCACTGACGAAGGAAGGGTATCATGTTCTTAGTGGGTGCAGTTTTCTTTTATAAGGTTAATCTTAAATGTCTGGTTTCATATGTTTCGAATCTAACTTTTCCTTTTTCTAATTTTTTTTTTTTGGATGGAGGTTGCAATGAGAATTGGGCTATCTTGCTTTGGCCCGAAGGAGTCGTGACCTCAGTCAAGGTGAAAGACCTGCACCATAAAAGAAGTCTCCCCGCCATCCTGAGTGCTTAAGAACTGGTGAGTCGCACTCTGGTTTCTTTAATTCACATGATGTTTATGGTACGTGCATGTACGAAGATTATCTTATTGCCCATGGAAGTAGATAATAGGCTGGAGGATTGAGAATATTTTTGCTAAACTGCTTGATGCAGATTCTATAAGCTCTATGAGATTAGTTCTTCCTATACTCATCCTTATTCTTGCTTTGTTGCTATTGGGTGCTCTGTCTCTTTCAGAAGTATTCATCTGTTAAGAATTTTGGATTGGATTGAATTGCCTGATGTCTTGCATTGTTTATTTGAAAAGATATAATCCTTTAGCTATCTAGATTTGGGTTACATCTCTCTTCTCCTCATAAAATGATCATCTTAAATAACAAAAAACGCCAAACTACATTATTTCGCTTCCAGATCGAGTGTCTTTTTGGGAAGTGGAGCCAATTGTTGCAGCTGCTCCTTCAAATCTCGGCCTACAAATTGGACCAACAAGCGGTCACGACCATCATATTTGCCTTCATTGACTCCCGACCTTAAGGCCCTTGGTTGGTCATTTCCTTATTTTTACTTTCTCATTTATGTTGAATTGGCTAGCTAGTGTCAATTACTTTTGTGGTTTTCACCTTAATATGTTAGGCATTTCGAAGACACCTATTGAACCATCTAGTCACAAACATCTTGATTCATGTGGATCCTTATACCATTCACTTCTTCAAAAATGTCGACTAACTCAGCTGGCTTCACTTCCATCATTTGCAGTTACTACCAAATCATCGATTTCTTGGCCTAAACAATTGGAGGGTGTAGTCGAGTCCATTTCCCCAGTCGTTAAGATAATTTCTAGTGACCGGAAACATGGCTCGGAGAATGGCTTCAAGTTGTTTGGCATTCAACTTGTAATAGCTTCAATAGGGGAGGAAAGTTCTCCATGTTCAGGCTTTTCAGACCCATAAAGAAGGTTTGCCTAATTCTGTCTTTGAATACTGAGTTCTACTGTCCCTTTCAGTAAGTTCTTATCCTGAGAAATCAAGGTTTTGCCCTGGATTTGCACCGCTTGCAGGTAAGGGCCTGCACAAAGGTTCAAGGAAGTTGAGATGGTGGTAGAGTAGCAGTCTCGTTCTCTCTTTTGTTGGATCAAGGATGCAAGTAACGACCACATCTTGTCCTCTCTTTGTTGGTCAAGACTTTTGTTGGGCATTTTGAGGGTGTAACTAAAATGAAGTAAATGAATGACCTGTAATCTTTTGTAATCTCGTAGCAGGCGCCATGACATTACGCATGATGACAGGTTCCTACTTTTGGCATTTGTATTAATGCTTGTTAGAAATTGAATCATGATGATAATCACCTAGGTATTGGGCAAAAATTTGCACTTGTGTTTGTAACTTGTGGTAAATCCAATCTCTGCAGAAGAATTTTCTTTGAGAGCAAAAGAGACTTGAAGAGAAAATTTATACTTGGCAGCAGTTGTTTCAAGTTAAGGTATGAATTGAATTCAGTCATTGATAGCCCAATAGCTCCTCCTCAAATACACCCCATGTATTCATTTCGTTCTCCATGCAGTTGGAAACTTTGGTAGCAATTTAGTGTGTAGTTTTATGGCATAACAAGTAGTGATTATCCTTAACCATCATTTTGGTTTCGAACGAGAAAAAATTAGAATATGTGATCGAACCAAAAGTAAATAAAAATGGAGGGTTC